AAACAAAAAATTAACTAGAAGATTGCTAAGAACTTTGCAGCTAATTTAGCTTGAGTAACTTTCTCAAAAGAAACCAAAAGAAGTATTGACAAGGATTATTTAGAAAAAACACTTTGGAAAGAATCAAGAGAAGAATCTTTTGAAACAAGATCTAGAGCAATTAAAAATCTAGTTCAAGAAGAAATAGTAGAAAAGATTTAAAAGTTCTTACAATCAAGTAGAAAAACCAAAATATATATTAAACTTGTTTTAACTATATTATAGAATTGCTTTCATATGAATATTTAAAAAAGAAGATATAAACTCTTGTGAAACTAGAAAATTAGCAAGGGTATCTCAGGCAAAGATAAATGAATATTCAAACTACTAATAGAAAAGAAGAATCTAGAACCAGAAGTCATTGATTTAAGATCCAAGAAAAGGGTTTCGAAAAATAATAGTATTTTAGATAAAATAGATAGAAAACAAAAGAAGAAAAAAAAAGAGAAGAATTTAAAAAATATAGAGAATTGTTGGTTTAGTAGTTTTAAAAACTTAATTTAAAATAGTTGTAGACCTTTTTGATATAGCTTGTATAGTTAACTGATATTAGCCTTCTGATCTTAAAAAATTTTTTAGACCAGTATAGCAAACTGTTTCTAGATATCTATGAGATAGCCAGGGATATCAGGTCTAGATATTAAACTCAATATTATATAATATATTTATATAATAATCTTAATAAAAAATTACTAGCAAGATTGCCAAAAATTAAAAAAAATATATATATATATATTTAAAAGATAAGTTTTAGAATTTTTTTAACAAAATTATTAAAAAATATATTATTTGCATAATAAAAAAGATTGAAAACAAAAATGATAGTTTAATTATTGATACTTTAGAACAATAAGTCTTGTATAATAAGATTTGGGCTTAAAAATAGAAATTAGTATACTATAAGATAAATATTAATTTTAATTTATTTTTTTGTTTTTTTATTTGTTTTTTTTCTAATAGAAGTTAGTATATTGTAAATATAAATTTTCTATTTGCTTTCTTTGATTCTTTTTGTACTAGTTTTTTTTTATTTAATATTATTAAAATATTTAATAAAGTTAATTAATTATGTTTAGATAGAAGATAAATTTTAAATTTTTTTTAATAAAATTATTAAAGAAATATATAATTTGTATAATAGAAAAAGATTAAAAACAAAAATTATAGTTTAATTCTTAATCTCTTAGAATAATAGATCTTATATAATGAGATTTGGGTGTAAAATTAAAAACTAGTATACTATAAGATAAGTATAAATTTTTAATTTTTTTTATAAATCTTATATTTAGCACTAAAACTAGAATTTAAGCTTGAGACTAGAAGTTAGTATACTATAAATATGAACTTCTATTTGTTTTCTTGGATTTTTTTTCTAGTATTAACTTTTTTTTATATTTAATATCAAAATAGAATTTAAACTTAAGATTGAAAACTAGTATACTATAAGATTCAATATCAGGTTTTATTTATTTTTTATTTTTTTTCTGGTATATATTAATATTTTTTTTGTAGATTTTGTTTTTAGCATCAGAATAAAAGATTTGAATTTGAGATAAAAACAAATGAGTTTACTAAAACGCACCAGTAGTGTTCAATACCATAGTAATTTTAACCAATAAAATTGTTGATCTGCAATATAATATCAAGATTAGATATAATATAAAAAATCAAAACAATCCTTTAATTTTTTAAAAAATCTTTAATAACTCAAAATTTTGTTTATAAAACTATCTTTTGTATCATAATAAAAAAATTCTTTGCAAAATTTTGATTATAATAACCTACATCAACAAAATATATAAACGTAATCTTATATAAATTATTATATTCTGAAATTTTACGCAAGAATTACGATTAACATGGAATATTTTAGAATTTTTAATTTCGAAATCTTATGCAAAAAATTTTAAAATATTTCGAAATATATTTTGAAATATTTCAAAATATATTTCAAAATATTTCAAAATATTTGCAATAAATTTCAAAATATTTCGCAATATATTTCGAATATTCAAAACATTTTGAAATATTGGCAGATTCAATTTTTTGGCTTTGCAGTATCAAAACTATCAGCTAGCTAAGTCTACAAACTTTAATCTACTACAAATACTATTTATTTCTACTGCTGTTTTGGTTTACCAACTTTCAAAAATGCACCACCACCGAAATATCTATCATTTGCATCTTTAACCTTCTTTTGTGCTTCGTCAGGATTGATCAATTCAATTCCTTGTACTGGAGTGAGGGTCAAAGAAGATGATAAACCGGACGTCGCCCCAGATGATCCCATAAATTGATGTCGTTTGGGCGCTTTTGCTTTATGCAATAATTAGTCGGATAAAGAATACGCACGTTGCAAAAAGATGAGTTTAAGACAAATAAGAACTATATTTTAATCAAAATAAGAATGTAATCAAACCTTTAACTCTGGGATCGGCCACAGCAGCACGGATTTTACCCGAATTTTGTCCAATCAGACCTAAACCCTTGGTTGTATCAAAAGAACCAGTTTCATCTTCAGCGACACCGAATGCCATCCTATTTTGAGCCTTACGAAGTTCTGTAACTGCATGTGCTTCTTTCATTCGACGTACTCTAAGGGGAATAATTCAATCAATGATGCATTAATATTTTGATATTTATAAAAAATATTTAACAGATTAATTTGGATGATAAAATACTTTTTTCCAGCTCTCCGTTTCTTTGGCCCTTCGTCAGGAACTGGTAAAGGCTTGACAGTCTTGGATGGAGGTGGTTCCTGCAATTTTTCAAGTTTTTTGTCAATCTGTTCCCGTAAAGACCTACCAAAT